ACCAAGTGCCCAACACACTTTCCTGAGCCACAAACCCTAAAACACCTACACAACACCGTCGACCTCGCAGACAAACAGCCTAAACCCTGAACTTTAAATTCTAGACCCTAGCTCTCAAAATTGAAACCCTAAACCCCATGTTCAGAAACCCTAATATAGGGGCCTTAGTAGTTAGAATAGGGGTTCGGGCTACTTTACAATGTAATTATGAAAAGGAACCCCCAAAATAGTATTGGTAATTTTTAAGCCTCTGTAGTAAACCCTAAACCCTCCAGCAAAGACGTTGGTGCCTCGATCATGCCACCCGGGAGCTGCCACAAGCCACTTTTGCGGCCACGGAGAAGGAAAAGCTGGTCACCTCGTTGACGATCCATTGGGTAGTTATAGGGTTTAGGGTTAGAACCATGCCCCTTTAAAGGAAAAGCCAGAAAGTTGGAATATGATTATCCTAACCCTTTATGGTATATTATAAGGTATCCTACCCTGAAACCATATTCCAACTTTCTGGAGTTCCCTTTAAAGGAATACAGGGCTTCGGGTCGACAGTCAGAAGAGGGCTCCTTTAAAGGGACATACAAGGCTAAGGTTTGTGTAGTACGTGTGAGGGCTTCTCGCAGGGGCCTACAACTCGAATAAGGGGGTTATGGAGTACTTAAAGGATCATGGGACTTAGTAACTAGGGTTATAATTAAGGTAACTGTACTTGTACTTACTTATAACCCCAATTAAGGTACTTATAACCCTACTTACTAAGTCCCATGATCCTCCAAGTATGTTGTATTGTAGCAATATTGAAGCGCCCTGGGGAATTTCATTGGTGTTTGTTTAGGCTTCTATGCCAGGTTCTTTTCCGGTTCCATGAGGGGTTCAAGAGAAGCTCTAGGGTTTGGGGTTCTGAGGTCGGAGAGACCCATTTGAGGGACCGCCCGGCCGACCGACCTAACCTACCTACCGATCTCTATCTATCTATCTGTATCTATCTATCTATCTCTCAATCTCTCTGTATCCATCTATCTCTCTCTCTCTCTCTCTCTCTCCCTTAACACCCATATCCCAAAACCCTCGCCCTGGCAATGTCAAGCACCGACCTCGGAAAAGGGCCACAAAGGCCGCGGAGATCTGCTCCTGGGGATCAGATAACTACTAATACGACTACAGTGGTTTAGGGTTTAGGGTTTTAGGGTTTAAGGTTTAGGGTATTACAAATATTACTGTGGCTTCTGTTATTACTACTAATTACTTTATTACCATTATTATGATCGCGAAGGCTCTCGGGGATTTTCTGCTTTTTGGCCTTCCGTCCGGGGCTACTTTCGGAGTTTCTATAGGTGTTCCTTCAAGGGCTCCATAGCGTATAGTGCTTAGGGCTTCTCTGTGCGGACTACTAGAAAATAGGCTACTACATCTTATAAGGCATATCATCATTTGGAACGTTTAGGGGTTTGACGTTTAAGCCTTTGATTGGGTGTAGGTTCACCAGGGTTTGGGGCTTTTTGTTCTCTCTAGGCACGATGAGAGCTACCATAAGGGCGCATGTCAAAGCGGTCATAAGCAGATCTAAAATACTGCGAGGCAGTGTGATTTTCAAGTAGAACCGACGCCCCACAATGTCTGGGCTCCAGGTAAAGTCATACCATCTTGTAGCTGCATCAGCCATGTAAGAAAAGTGGAGTTTTCAGGGCTTACACAGGACTTTGGGTCGGGGTTAAGCTCTAACAGACGCATGAGATCCTGTAATCTAGACTCTAGACTCTAGAGCTATCCCTAGACATTTACAAGCATCTACAATATAAGCTTGTTGGACAAAAGCATGCATTACGAGAGGCTGCAGTCGTACAATCACGACATTGCAAAATCGAGCAGGTGTGGTCCAAACAGATCGTGGGACCTAGACGTAGCCATTGAAGCTATAAGTAGCATCATTAGGGCTATGCAGACGCCGGAATTCCCACCAGACCACATAAAACCCTGCAAAACAGTGCACAATGCTATACTATGCCATACTTTACTACACTATACTCTACTAGACAGTATACTAAATACTAGACTACTAGACCATACCATACTATGCTATGCTATAGGATACCGTACTATACCATACTACATGATACTGCACGATGCTATACGATACTATATGATACTAGAGATAGGATGCTGTACGATACTGCCAATGGGAAGTTAGTAAACCCTAAACCCTAAACCCTAAACCCTAAACCCTAAACCTCGGAATGGTATCGGCAACTAATCAGGTTTCTGTTTGAAAACATCGAGGATAACCCTAAACCCCAGACACCGGACCCGAAAGTCTACGCCGAATTCAGACCCGATCGCCCGAGCATCGAGCTTTGTAGTGGCGTACCAGGGGCAGCTGCGCGCGCATCTCCTGGAAAGGTGACTTCCCCTATTGTTGTTTATGTTTTGATTTAGGGGTGGAGGGGTTCAATTTCGGTGCTTTGTTCATTTTCGGTTTCCGCAAATTACGTCATGGGCTTACATGACATGTACAGGCTCAGTGTTTTTTATGACCCTCATGATCCCACCCGCAAAAAACCCTTAGAGAAGATGGCAACAAAGACGAAACGAGTTGTCGACAGTAGGCTAACATAGAACCTGTGCTGGTGAGTCGGGAAAGAAGCCTTATGTAGTGCATGTAGAGGCCTCGGGTCGAATATTTCCAAAGTCTCCGGCCGCAGGACGTCAACAATGTGGGAGTCGTTCTAGTGCTCACAAAAGGGACGTATCTGGCCCATCCAAAGCCTTGGTTAGCTTGGTTGAACGACAACTAACAGATGTGGCGACGGGTTATCTGAATCCCCAATTATAGTCCGACCGAGATTTGGGTCATTCATGTTCTGCGTTAACTGGGTTAGCTCATTACCAGAGATTTTCGAGACCCCGTTTTAAAAGCATAAACATGGGACCGACAAACCAATGATCATATACTCTCTTATTAAAATACGATTACTAGTGCCGACCCAAACCCCATATCCAGTCATTGATTATTGTGGACTCTGACGAGTTCCAGCAACTGGCCTTAGTTCAACCTTGCTTAGCCAACATTGTTGGGGTTCCTGACTATGAACTCTTTCCAAGTGCTTTTTGAAACGGCAGGTAAGACGCCAAACCAGAAACTCCATCCCCAACAGGGGCCACTTGCATCAGGAAGTTGTGTCCAGGATCGGAATGCCGGCCAGTCTGCATGACGCCGGTGAGCAGGCCAGTCTGCCTGGGGCATACAAGCAGCACTTTCTTTTCTCTGCGTGCCCTCCTGTTTCTCGAGCGTGCCAGTGAGCAGCGCGTGAGCCATCAACAGGAGACCGGTCCGACTTGCCAGAGGCCATAAGTCCCTAAACCCTAAGCCCTAATTTAAGTACCAGGTTCTGGCATTTGCCGGCCTAGATTGATCGACTTGGCGGCGTATGTCGCGGGGTCGTCTGCCGCCACCCCGTCCAAGGACTGATGCAACTATTCGTCGAGATTCTATGAGGCTGTGAACTGCGTGGTTGAAGCATTGCTGAAACTCGTAATCCGAGTGCCACATTGAAGTACAGGGGAAGGCTACATGGCCGAGCACACTGAAATCCCCACTAAACGTTCGCTCTAGGAAACTCCTAAACCTTTAGAACAACGACTACAACCATGACACGAACAACAACGTACGATACCCTGTAAACCCCCTTCTATAGAAAATGGCCTAGGGCCTAGACGAGGGACCCTTGACCCCTGAACCCCAAAACCAATCCTACATAGGGGGCCATAATATTGTACCCCAAATAGTAGGATCCTTACTGTAAGGGCCCCAACATAGGGTATCCCAGCTAAATTGGGGAAAAATGTTACCCTAAACCCTAAACCCTAAACCCTAAACCCTATGAAGGGCACACCTCTCGAATCAAAGCAACCCTGGGTTCCCCCAGTTTCTGCTCCCGCGGCGGTGCTGCAAACCAGGGCGGGCGCTGTGACGCCATGGCTTCGGCTTGTTTGGGATTTCCGGTGTGGGGGGTTTAAAGCTTATAAGGGTTTGGGGCGGGTAGCTTGGAGTTGAGGGTTGAAGAGCTTAAGGTTTCTGGCTTGGGGTTTGGTGCTTGGGGTTGGGGATCAAGGGCTTGGTAATGGGTTGCCATACTGTGGTGCTCGGATTTAGAGCTGTGTAGCAGGGTCAAGAGGTCAAGAAGTTGTGGGTTGGGGGTTTAGGGGGGTTCAGGGTTCAGGATTCAGGGTTAAGGGTTCAGGATTTAAGGCTTAGAGGACCTCTTGATAATCATAAGTATCATAAGGATCCGACCACCTAGGGTCCAAGTTAACCCTAAACCCCAAGCCCCAAGCCCGAAACCTCAAGCCCCAATGCCGAAGACACGGAACTTCAACGTCAGATCTTACAGCTGAGCCCGAACTCATCACTGCGAAGTTGTTTAATCAGAACCATCTTGCCACGTCTTCGGGTGTCGGGCTTTAGGGCAATTTCGGGTTTGTTGGTTTAGGGCAGTTTAGGGTTTGGGGCAGCTTTGGATGCCCCTAAAACCTAAACCTAAACCCCTAAACCCTAAACCCCTACCAGGACCCCCCAAGTACCCTTTAATAAAGCCCTTATGGTCCTTAATAGCGGGTACTTAGGGTATGTTAGAGGGCAGTTGGGGGGTCCAGGTAAACCCTAACCCCTAAACCCTAAATGTCAATCCCAGGTGTGTCTACAGACAGCGCGACGCCGGCCTGCGGCCCAAGGCACAAGAGTACTCTTTCGTGGTGGATGGAAAAAGTCCCCAGCTGTGCAGGGGCCCGAGAAAGCTTTGGCGGTGGTTTTCGGTTTGCTGACTTGTCGTTTCGTCTGTTGGGGTTTTACATTGGTAGCGGAGCTCGAGCCGCGGTCTCGGGCACTAGTGGTTCTTGTCTTGAGTTTCGTTTGTTGAGGTGTAAAGGTGGTCTGTTGTCAAAGCAGTTGGGCCCCTGCCTAGGTACCTCTTGTTTTTTCCCGTAGTTTAGCTTTCGTGCGCTGCGTAAATATGGCTGCTGATGATGGCGTGGCAGCGAGCCAGCCAGGAGCCGATGCTTCGGAACCTGCGGACCCGTGGGCCGGATGGACTGGCGTCCAGAATCAGCCCGCAACCGAAACGACGACGCAGCCAACGCAGCAGAATAACACTGGCAACGCTGACGAGAGCGGGGAGGCTTTCGTTGACGAGAGTCAGTGGCCTTCGTGGGAGCAAGCGGAATGGGATGACTCTTCATGGGGGCACTACAGCTCCTGGAGTCATGGGGACCAATGGTCCCGCGGAGGCGGATGGCAACGAGATCAGTGGAGCGACGCCCGGAGTCACGGGCATCCGAGAGAATGGTGGAGCGACGACGGCCATGAGGACAGATGGTCTGACGGGAGTCACCACGGATGGAGGGACCATCAGCATGGATCGAACGCTTCTACGACGACCCCCTCTACGGACTGGGGCGGCGGTTGGCGACAGCATGCGGGACACGATCCACCGGAAGTTGGACAGCGTCGTGATTGGCACGATTCCGGACCGCATGCACGGGAACATGACGAGAAGAAGGGCATGATCAGTGAGAGAATGGCGGTACCTTCGTTCTCTGCTGAGGGCGTGGGAGAAGAGCTTGGGCAGAGCGCCAGGTCGTATCTTCGGCAAGTGGAGGCCTGGACGAAGGTCACCAGGACACCGGCCTCACAAAGGGCTTTGCTGCTGTACCAGAACCTCACTGGCCGTGCATGGGTTGAGTCAGAAGAACTTCAGGTTTCAGACTTAGCCAAAGATGATGGGCTAGATGTCTTCAAACGTTGGGTGCAGGAGAGGTACCAGGAGGTCGAGGTCTCGAAGATCGCTGAGTCCTTGACGTGCTTCTTCAAACGACTTCGCCGTCAGCCTGGACAATCCATCCGGGAGTTCAACTCCCTGTTCGACCGTGCCCACACCAGGTTGTTGGAGATCGAATGCCGACTACCAGAAGTGGCGAAGGCGTGGGCGTACTTGAATGCCCTCGGCTTGGCCCACAACGAAGAGCTGGCTCTCTTGGCGAGTGTCAACAACGACTACCACACGACGAAGCTCCAACGAGCGGCGACTCTACATGAGAAGAGCCTCAAGGCCCCATGGAGTTTCAGGAAGCCCGGCACCGGAACTTTTGACAAGACGAAGGGGCCACGCGCGGCTTACATGACGGACATCCACGATGAAGAGGACGAGCCGGATAACCTCGACGAGGAGATCCTGCCCGAGGAGGTTGCGATGGAGGTCCACGAGGCCTTCATGGCCCATGAGTCCGCAAAGGCCAGGCTGAGAGAAGTCACGAAGAATCGTGGAGTGGACATGGAGGCAGCGAAGGGCACCGGCGGAGACAAGTCTCCGGAAGAGCGGCTACGTTTGGCGAAGAGTCGTTCCTTTTGCGCGGGCTGCAAAAGGAGGGGACATTGGCACCGGGATCCAGAATGTCCCCTGAACAGCGGCAAGAACGGCGACAACAAGCCGAAGGTCCAGGACGGGCGCCAGGACAAGGGCGTTCGCGACAGCTTCGTGGTCTACGTGGCGTTCGAAGTGGGCGAAGTGGGGATCCGCGAAGGACTCGTCGGGATAACCGACTGTGCATGCAGCCGCAGTGTCTGCGGGCAAGAGTGGATGGAGCGCTACCTGAACCAGGCCAAGAAGGAGAATGTGCCCCACCCCTTTTTGCCGTGCTGTGAAGAGTTTCGGTTCGGAGCAAGCAAGGGTTTCAAGGCCACCTATGCGGTCCTCGTTTTCATCACTCTTCAGCACAGGACGTTTGTGATCAAGGTGGCCGTCGTGGACGGCGACGTGCCGCTGCTGCTTAGCCGTGCCGTGCTGGGCAAACTAGGCATGGTCTATGACATCGAGCGCCACGAAGCCGACTTCAGAGCTCTCGGAATCGACAAGTACAAGCTGAGCCTGACCAACACTGGGCACCCGGCCATTCCGGTCTCACCGAAGAAGTTGCCATCACATGTTTTGTCCTCCACAGAAGGCTGGAAGGACGAGGAGGTTCGCATCGCGTCCCAGGCGGTTGAGCAATACACGGTGTTCATGACTTCTTCGATAGCAGCTGTGAGCGATGATGTGCTTTATGAGGGCTCAGATCCGGTTGTTCTACGCAGTGACCCCCAGAGTCTTCATGAAGGTACCAGTGTTGAGGTCCCCGAGGACACTTACGAGGCCCCCATTTTCTTCTCTAAGAAGCTTGACGCTGAGATCAAGGGCATGCTTCTTGATGGTAACCTTAACCACAACCTGTTCCTTGCTTGGTGGTCACAAACAAACATCAGGAATGACTTCTGGCTAGAAGGCCCATGTACATGGACCAGAGTACACGTTATTCCCCGGCGTGCTTGTTTTGATCCGCGAAAATGGAAGACTCCTTCTTTCAACCACAAAGAAGTACTCCTCGAACACCTCGGCTACGTCAGAAGTACTTTCAGTATATCGTGCCATACCCATAGACCTCTTGAACCCCAGCATCATGTTTGGCGTGAAGTGTCTGAGCCGCCGGCTGCGCTTTGGATCGGGAAGAGCATTTTCGCGAAGTGCCCCGTTGACCTCAACCCTCCTCCTGCAGCCAATGGCCAAGGAGTCCAAGGGAATATGGAGCATGACGAAAGCCGAGCTGATCAAGCTCGCCTCCGAGGAGTCGATTGTTTGCCACAGCAGTTGGACTTGCGGCGAGATACGCTCCGTCATCCAGGAGAAACGCCAAGCAGGAGGCTCCAGTGTCCCGAGGGGACTCGGGAACATGACCCTGGACGACCTGAAGTCAAAGATGGTGGAGCTGGGCCTGGAGATGCCGACGAGGCCCACCAAGGGCCAGCTGGCGAAGATCATTCGGGACTCGACCAAGTCGGCCGACGAGGAGGTCGTCAACTTCGGCCGGTACGTGAACCACCTGTACAAGGAAGTCCCGGAGGGATATTTGCGCTGGGCAGTCCGCGAAACGGAGGCCAACAGCAACTCGTCTATGGACCTGCGGAAGCTGGCAAACTACGCCCGGGAGAAGTTCAGCCGTTCCGAGAAGATCGACCCGGAAGTGAATGCCATGGTGAAGTACGACCCCTCGGAGTTCGATGTGAAGAGCGAGGGCTATCCATCGAAGTGGTCAGTGGTGTCAGCTGCCACCGGCTCTCAGCAGCCGATTGCTCCGAAGGCGACGACGCCACCCCCAAAGAAGAGCCGCGACCGCAACGACGACCGGACCAAGGAGAGCATGGAGCAAGAGATCCCACTCGAGGTTCGCGAGCAGCTAAGGAACCTGGCGACGCAGATGGCACTCATCAAGGACAAGTACGGGATCCACGATGCCTAGGAGAACGGAGCGAGGACGAGAAGGACTACGTCTTTGGCAAGGATGCCGGGGAACGCAGTCCGGAGATCTCCGGGCCTGTCGACCAAGACAGGGGGGGATTCTCGATGTTTGATGGGAGCCACAAACTTTTGACCGAGCGAGACGGTGCCGCAGCTCTCGTTCGTGGTGACAGTGTTTTTTCAGATCCCCACTATTTCGTCTCGGGGAACATTGAGTTCAGCGAACCTACTTTTGACCCTGAGGTGGACTATCAGGACTGTGTGGAGGGCGTAGATCTCCCGAAGTCCCACGTGCACCACGACAAGCCCACCGACGACACTTGCCAGGAATGCTTTGAAGAACACGTCCAGGCGGCCCAGGACGTGGAGTCGCTCGCCAAGGAGCTCCTGAAGGTCGGCGACTTCTCTGCCGATGCCTGCCGCGAGCTCGCCGCCAAACTTTGTCTCTGGCAAGGAGCGTGTCGGAGGAAGATGATGAATGGCACTGGAAGGGCAGTCGCCCTTGGTGCTTTCACCCACGGCGGCATCCACGGGGTGATCAACAACACGTACAACCTCAAGGCGACGCTCCGATACTTGAACAAGTTCCTCAAAATCAAAGGGGCAAAGGGAAGATGGTCTTCTCTCAGCGTCACCTTGAACGCCCAGCCTGGACTCCATCGGGATGCCCACAACATGGACTCGAACCAGTCTATCTCCCTCGGTCCCACCGTCGGAGGAAGATTGTGGATTGAGGACCCGAAGGACGAGCTACGCGGAGAGTACCACATCGTGAAGCTCGCCGATGGCCGGACCATCGAGGGCAAGTACGTGTCCACTCAGGACCAGGTAGTGTCTTTCGACCCTCACCGTCGACATTTTGTCGAGGACTGGGACGGCATCCGCGTAAGTGTTACCGCCTATACTGTTCGAGGGATTGAACATCTCAGCACCGAGGAACGTGATCTACTACGAGCGCGCGGTTTTCCGGTTCATGCAGCTCCCCGGCAAGAAAGCACAGGAAACAGCTACAGGAAAGAGTCTGAGACGAGGCCTAGGAGCAGTGTACGCAAGGGGCTGTGGAAGAATGCCCTGAAAGCCAGCGCCATGCTCACGATGACCATGACGGCGGCAACGAGCTACCTCAGCGAGAACTTTGCACGCCCTTCGGCTGAGCAGGTTGCCCTTCTCGAAATCGGAGGAGCCGAACACACCTATTACGCCACCGAGATCGGTGCCATGGTGTCCGAACCCCTCGACCACGACTTCGTCTATGAGCACGGCGCCCACCAAGTGTGCGAACACATCAATGAGGTCAAGCCCCGAGTCGTCTGGATTCACCCACCAGGCCCGGACGAGAAGAGCTACGTCAACTACCAGAAGATCGTTGAGGCACAGATCAACGAGGGCGGCATCGTGGTCTGTGAAGCTAACAAGAACGACGTGTGGTGGAACAACCCGAACTTCAACAACGAGTCCCTGCGAGCAGGCCGAGAAACCTACGATTCTGATGGAAGAGTACGCTTGCGAATCGGGCCTACTGAGAATGTGATCGAGACGGCCTACGTTGTTGAAGGCGGAGAGAAAAGGAAGCGGACCGACGAAGAGAACAAGAAGGGAGCAAGTGCGATCAAGTTCGATGCCAAGGTTGCTCCCCATGTTCGAGCAGCACTAACCAGGCTACACCAAAACCTCGGCCACCCGGCGGTGCACGACTTGGTTCGCCATCTACGACTTGCTGGAGCCGAGGGTGCAGTCATTGCCGCTGCCAAGTCTCTGAAATGCGAAGTTTGTGAAAGATGCCAGAGAACGGCTGCGTCGCGCCCCGCAACGCTGCCGACCATGCTGGACTTCAATCAGATTGTTGCAGTTGACGTGTTCCACGCCTTCGACACCGAGCAGGTGAGACATGAGTTTCTCTCTGTGATCGACCTGGGCACCCAGTACCACGTGGTTAAAGAAATCAGCGGACACAGCAGCCAAGACTTCGAGATGAACTTCATCGATGTGTGGAGCAGAACGTTCGGAACCCCATCGGTGATAGCAGCAGACCTCGAAACCGGCCTGCAGGCGGGTCTCGCCAAGTACGCGGAGTTCTCAGGAGCCAAGCTTCGATCATCAGCGGCCCAGGCGCACTTTCAGCAAGGGGTCGTGGAACGACACGGTCAGTGGTGGCAAGACATCTTCGCGAAGGTCGTGGACGACCAGACCATCACCAGCGACGACGTGTTCCTCGCCGTCGCCGCCGTCAACAATGCGAAGAATAATCTTTGTCGCAGACACGGATACTCGCCTTCTCAGGCGGTGTTCGGGCGAGATACTCCCGCTCCAGAAGACCTATGTCAAGGGAACGACGAAGAGATGACCCTGGACATCATGACCACGGACAAAAGGAGGCAACGCGAAGTGGCCGTCCGGACCGCAGCCCGCCTGGCCTTCTTTAGATCCCAAGTCGACATCAAGCTCCGGAGGAGCCTGATTCAGAGAGCGCGGGTCAAAAAGACCGAGTACTCCCCTGGTGAAATGGTGTGCTTTTTCCGCTATGACAAGGCCAGTACCAAGCGTGGACGATGGCGAGGCCCCGGTCTTATTCTCGGCCGAGAAGGGCCGAACTGGTGGGTCAGCTATGCGGGGAGATGCCACCTATGCGCAGAAGAGCACATGAGGCCCAGCACTGCAGAAGAGGTGGGGCAAGCGTTCACTTCGAAGGTGGCAAGAGCCGATCTTGAAAAGCTCTTGTTCAGTGACCCACACGATCCCAACGGCTATGCCCATTCGGACGAAGAGCCCGGAGAAGAACCCGGCGATAACGAAGGCGAGCCACAGGGCGTCGACGAGGACATGCTGGAGGATATCAGCGTGGATGGCGAGGAAAAGAACCAGGACGGTGTCACCGAGCAGATCGGCGACGAGGAGATCGACCAGATGCTCAGCGAGCCCTTCGACTACAAGGAGGAAGAGCCCAGAGTAGAGAGGAGAGCGCGGCACAAGCAGGCCGGGAGACCTAAGCCCTATCCCGTCTTCATGCTCAAGCGCTGCGTTACGGAGCGTTCTCAGGCCAAACAGCTTGAGAAGGAGTTGCCGTGGGCTGCCATTCCCCCGGAGAAGCATAGCTTGTTTAAGGCCGCAGAGCGCAAGCAGATCGGCCCTCACTATCCTCACCAAAGCCGAGAGCGACGTGATCTACGACACGGTCGAGGAGCGCATCCTGAACTCTAGGTGGGCTTATAAGGACAAGAACTACTCCAAGCGGAAGGCCGACAACACCGTAGAATGGAAAGCCAAGGCACGGCTAGTGATAGCCGGACACCGAGACCCAGACGTGATGAATCTCACTACTGACGCACCTACGGTGAACAGGCTTTCAGTTTTGGTGTTGCTGCAGTTTGTCGCCAGTGCCCGCAGAGATCCCGACCCATGGGAAGCCGCAGCTGGTGACGTGAGTGCCGCGTTCCTCAATGGAAAGCCGCTGCAGCGAGTCCTCTATATGAAACAGCCCAGAACTGGTGTGGACGGCATGGAACCTGGAGCTCTTTTCAAGGTTGAGAAGGGGATCTTCGGACTGCCGGACTCACCACATTCCTGGTGGGTCGAGTTCCAAGAGATCGTTTTCCGCACAGAGTTCACCTACGGCGGGAGAAGCTACACGCTGAAGCAGTCCCCAGTAGATCCATGCGTCTTTCTTGTGAAGTGTGCGGGAGACTCCAAGCCTCACGCCTACCTGGCGGTGCACGTCGATGATCTACTTACAGTGGGGCCGAAAGGGCTCTCAAAGGCATTGAGAGCAGCGCTCGACAGCGAACTGCCGATCGACGAGTGGGAGATCGACAACTTTGACTACATCGGCTCCCGCATCACAGTTGACGATGAAGGCGTCAAGATCTCACAAAGTCACTACGCGCCCACCCGGCTTTTCCACATCGAGGTCGACAAGAGCGACCCCGACGACAAGCCGGCGTCCTTCGAACAGAAAGTTGACAACCAGTCCCTCATCGGGGGATTGAGCTGGCTCGCCGGACAGACTCGCCCTGATATTCAAAGCGCGGTCTCATTGGCCCAGCAGGCCCAGAAGACCCCTACTGTCGGCGACATACGCTTCACCAACGGCATCGCCAAGAAGGCGATCGACTTTCAAGACAAGGGAATTCAACTGAGACCTCTCGACCTCAGCAAGCTCGAGATCCTGGTCTACCACGATGCGGCCTGGGCTAACGCCCTGCCGATTGACCTTGCTGGAGAGGACGAGTTCGCCCTCAGCAAAGAGGACCACGAGAACGGCTACATGACCCAGATGCCCGAGAGCTTCCAGGTCCGAAAGGCGAAGAGGGCGAACACCAAGGTTGCGAGTCAGTACGGGCTTTTGGTCCTACTAACCGAGAGCGGAGTGATCAATGATGGACGGCCTGTCAGCATCATTGACTGGAAGTCTACTACGGCGAAGAGGATTTGCCGCTCGACCTTCGCAGCTGAAACGATCGCATGCACAGATGGTGTAGAAGTAGGACAGTACGCGAGATCCTTTGTTCGATGCCTTCTAGATGGACATTTGAGTTCTGTCGAGAAGCTAGGAGGAACTTCCCTGCGGTTTATCACTGATTGCAAGTCATTGTACGACCACCTCCACAGGGAAGGGATCCCTAGAGTACCGACGGACCGTCGGCTCGCCATAGACTTGGCGGCTTTGAGACATGCTTTGAATGACGAGCGACGAGATGGGACGATTCCTCTTAGCTGGCTCCCTACCTCCTTCCAGCTAGCCGACATATTGACTAAGCCCTTAGGACCTTCTGATTTCTGGGCTAAGACGGAGTCGTCCATCAGGATCCCGCTCGTTACCAATGCTAAATTTTGAGGATTTCTGATCAGTGTCAATCCCAGGTGTGTCTACAGACAGCGCGACGCCGGCCTGCGGCCCAAGGCACAAGAGTACTCTTTCGTGGTGGATGGAAAAAGTCCCCAGCTGTGCAGGGGCCCGAGAAAGCTTTGGCGGTGGTTTTCGGTTTGCTGACTTGTCGTTTCGTCTGTTGGGGTTTTACACTAAACCCCCAGGGCAGCTTGAGGGTAAAGGATGGTCTGGGGTTTCTTGCTGTGCAGCTGGAGAGGTCCCAAACAAAAACCTCGTCGGTGCCTCCTGAACCAGGACACTATGCCCTCAGATCCCTACCTAAACCCCTAAACCCTAAACCCCCAAAACCCTAAACCCTAAATTCTAAACCGATGACTTCCAAACTCCCAGTTCTAGGCAAGTTGAGCTTACAACCCTGCGGCGCCCGGCAGAGGCCCCAGACGATTAGACTGGGCTTCGGCGAAAGCATGCTATAATCATATTGAGGAAAACCTCAAACCCTAAACCCCGAAGCCCTAAACTCTAAACCTCGAAACCCTAAACCCTTAACCCCCAAACCCACATACCCTAAACCGACACTAAACCCTTAACTCCCAAACCCTTCACCCCCAACCCACATACCCTAAACCGACCCTTATCGGCCCTAAACCCCAAGCCCTCGCATCTTCTCGAGCTCCGGAGCGACCGGGCGAACCCGAAACCTCTGATCCAAGGCCCTTCCCGTAGAACTCACGCCTTAAGCCTGAACCTCAAACTCAATCCTAAGCCTTATAGAAATCTGGGGTGTAGGGTTTACGCCGGAAGAAAAAGGGTCCCACTTGCCTCCTCCATCCGAGATAGACACTCTCAAGAAAAGAGCCAGAAGTAGGGTTAAGAAGGGTTCCCTGTATCTCCCTAAACTTACCTTTGGTTAGTAGGGAATGGAAGAATGGTAGTAATAGTAGTCATAACTGTACCCGATTCCTCCATGCCCTACTAAACCAAAGTAAGTAAAACTTACCTGTCCGACGTTTGCCTCCTCCATCCGCCGTGAGGAGTCGCTTGTGACAGGAGGGGCGTGGTAGCGGAGCTCTCGCTGCCAGGGGCCCTGGCATGAAAATTCGGAGTTGGGGGTTTACTATAGGGGCCTTAATAGTTAGAATAGGGCTTTGGGGCCCGTTATACTATAACTACAATAAGGAACCCGCAAAATAGTATAGGTAATTATTTAGGGGGGTTACTTGGAGGATCATGGGACTTAGTAAGTAGGGTTATAAGTACCGTAATTGGGGTTAGAAGTGATAATAAGTACAGTTACCTTATATAATGATAGCCCAAGTCCCATGATCCTTTAAGTAGGGTTCAGGTTTGAGGGTTGAGGATTGAGGGTTTCTTGGGTTTAGGGTCCCTGACATGGATTTGGGCTTTAGTTTAGGGTTTAGGGTTGAGGATCGAGGGTTCAGGGTTCACTGTTACTTGTACTAGGTTGAAAACTAATCCCTTGAATTGTGAGGGTATCCTGTTTCCTACGGTTCAGGGTTGGGGGTTGAGGGTCAAAGGGCTCGGGGCTTATAGGGAGTATGGTTGAGGGTCATGGCCCGTTGAGGGTCCAGGGGTCGGGGCTAATAGGGCATCCGTCGACCCTGGCGGCGTGTTGGATGGGTTTCGATGGGCTTGGAGGTGTTAACCTCCCCGCAAACCGGGCGCCCCTGGGGGGGGGTACCCCATGGCTGTTTGCAAGCAGCAAGCCCATTGGGTTCAAATCAGTTCACTGTAGGAGACCCCCCCGCCTCCCCCCTGCCCGCCTCCCCCCCTCCCCCCCCTCCCCGTTCCGCCCCCTTTCCCCCCCCACCCGCCTTGCCCCCTTCTTCCTCTTCCACCTTGGCATCTCCGCTCCAAAGTGCTCCTTGTTCCTACTTCGCGTGATCGTCGCGCAGCCTCGCGTGCTTCCGCCTCTTCCCCCCGTTTAGTCTCACAATCTTAGAAGCGCACCAGCGAAGCTTGTCAACTTGAAGGTTCCCGTTTAGTCTCACAATCTTAGAAGCGCACCAGTGAAGATTGTCGGCTTGAGGGTTTGGGACCACTGTGACTGCGAGTAGCGGCTCAAAACTGGCGCACAAAAACTGGCGCCCGTTTTTTGAGCGAAACCCTAACCCTAAACGGTTGTAAAGGTGTTGAACATAGGGTTTCAGGACGGTTTAGGTTTCGGGTTTAGGTCCTGCGGTAAGGCTTTGTTTGCACTTCCCATCTTGGCGTCTCCTTCTAGAACTAAACCTACGGGCCTCGCGGACACCAAACGACTTTGCCTGTACAAGTGCATTCGGCTTCTGGTCTATCGCCCACGGGGTCGGCGGCTTGAGCCGGAGGCTCTTAAATTGGGCAGCGCTTTGCTGCCCTGTATGGACTGAGCTATGGCTCAGACGAATGGGCTTCTCTTGCGAAGCAAAAGCCACGACGGCTTGTGCCGCCGACCCGCCGCCGACCCCGCATCATCGGACCTCCGTTTCTCCATAGGGCCCTGCAGGCCCTGGCCCGGAGGCGTCTCGGAACGCGCACGCGCTTCGCAGCCATTCCCCACGGCATGGCGGGTTTCGGGGCCGCCGTGGACGACCCCAGGAGGCGAGCCGGCGAGCATCATGAGCACTCGGACGCCCGCAACCGGCCCCGCGGCGCGAAGTGGGCGCGAAGTGATGATTTCCAAGTTTTTGCGTGGGTTGCGGAAGCCCCAAAAGGGCGCGCATCATCAGCATCAGCGGGGTCCGGCGGAGGGCGGATGCGGGCTACATTGGAGGGCCGACGAGGGCTAAGAGCGTAAGATCACCCATTAGTTGTGCACTTCGGGCCTACGTCACACTTTTCTTCCGGTGTCGAGCTGTCGTTGTCTCGGCACCGTCTGGAAATTTTGACCGTGTCTTTCCCGTTCCCCAGCTACATCCGCTGACAAAAACTCGCGCTGCCCGCACCTGGGCGCAGCCCCTAGAATTGTTGAGGGTCATGGCCAAGGCTTAAGGGTACAGGCTTGAGGTTTACGGGCTCAGGGTTTAGAGTGGGCTGAGGTACGACAGAACACCAACTCAAACCAACACTACACCCGAAACACCTGAAGCCTAACCCTGAAGCCTGAAACCTAAGTAGTTTGTAAGTAATTACATCGGCCGTCTCAATGCTGAAGTTCCGGATTGTCTTACTTTCCGAAGATCAAGACTGCTCAGATACTAGGGTGTTGGTCCACACGACGGTTTCAATTCTTGAATTCTGAACTTTGCGCACACTTCAAGATTCGAACAATTCAAACTCCAAACTTCAAACCTCAACACCTTCGAATATTCGAAATCTCGAACCGTCGAGTTTGAGCGACCTCGCACAGGACACAATGCTTCTAAACGGCTATCCCAGGGATTCGTTTGCGGTCTGTGTGAGAGAACGGGCTAAAGGCTAGGTGCCGCCCTGTCTGCGCAGAAACTATTCAGTTTTCATGAGGAACCACCACAGATCGTAAAGATGTATTGCTGGCGAGCTTGCAATTACCCAGAGGGTCCATATACACTACTATTATGGAATTAGGTTTCACGAACCATAATGGGGATGGTCCTTGGGGACCTAATTCCATACTAGTAGTGTATATGGACCCTCTTGGTTATGTCGCAACGGGCAATCGCCTCGCTAACCGAACCTCGAGCGCTCTCGTGGTCTACGTTCTCCAAACTCCCAAATCCGGAAGCCCGTAAGCCCCCAAATTCTACCAACCCCTCACAACACACATGGGAGTCTCAGAAAGCAAGCGACTCTTGTAGAAACACCGACTATATAGCAAGGCAGGACGCATGGTTCCAAGCAGTCCCAATTTCGTCATGATCCCAAAGCCTCAACAACCCTAATGCAAAGTAAAACTGAGAGAGCCCCCACCCGACCCTACACCCCACCCCACCTCTGGGACTCTTGGAACCTTGCGAATTAAGAAGGCCCTGCCAAGAAAACCAAATTTGGCATCGTGTCTCTGCCGGAACTCCGTGATGTTAAGACTCCCCCCATCCAAGCCCTAAACCACAAACCCCCTGAAACCTGACCGCCCAAACCGTAAACCCTAAACCCCTATAAACACCCTTAGAAGCCCTAAACTCTACAACCCAACCCCCCCCCTCCACCCTTCCGCAAACAAAGAGCAAGTCACGTTTGGTGCATCGTCCTGCCTCGGTGGTGGGCTCCAAAACCGCTTGGGCACTGTCAGCGTCCAGGGAGGGGAGGTGGGAGAACTCGACCATGTCGGGTCCTGCTTAGGCTTGCCTTTTAAGGACTTATATAAAGAAATCATAATAATGGAACCCTAAAAAGGTGGGTTATTCAGGGTTAGTGTTTTCTTGTGGTTTAGGGATTAGGGCTTTTGGGGTTTAGGGTTTGGGTTTAGGTTGAGGGTTTCTGGGGTTTAGGGCTCTTTTGGGGGCTTCCTTGAAGGGGTCCCCTAGGATTGCTTTAATTTAAGGGTTCCTTCAATTTCAGGGCTCCTTCAAGGGTCTATTTCCTTGCGTTTGTCGGAACCTGAATGTCAGCCTTTTGGACTTCGAGGCTCCGGTTTAGAGACTAAGGCTAGGGTCGTTTATGTTACGCAATGTTACATACGCCCCCCCCCCCACCTAACTGCGCTTCATCACGCCCGAAGTACCCAAAATTAGGTCCATCAGATCTCGGTTTCAGGGATACTTGGAGCTCATGGAAGGGATGGCGCGAAAGGACCCCTGAATCCCATGACCCTAAACCGCAAACCCCTCAAGTCTCAACCCCAACCTGGATTTCCCATAGCCTAGTCTTGTGTACTGTCTTGCTATAATATAAAACCCAATGAAGTTTCCAGAGCCCTACAAGACGCAAGTTACCCATAGGCTCCATAGTAGTTCCTTTTTGGGGTTACCTTATAGGATTCTATATATGCAACACACAGAGAAACTGCTCTGGAGCCTCTCGGCATGGCTCAAGCTAAAGGAGGGCAAATAACGGCTCAGCAGGTTCTAGACCCCAAACGCCAACATCCG